GCCAAGTGGGCAGAAGAAATCCAGGGTTCTCTGGTGTAAAACATATCATGAAAATAAGATGCACAGTTGGCCGTAATTTTTCTCTCAAACCTTTTTATTTAGTAATCGCAATGCCACACTGTTAGTAATCAGTGAAGCGTTTCCTATTCAGTTAAATCACGCGAACTCATGCTTTTCAAATAATTTATTTTAATTTTCGAAGACTCTAGGTAGTTTAATTCTGCTGGACAGATTTTCAACAGGGAGAAGGGTAAAAAAAACAGTCGAAGCTGTATCAGATGACGTAATGGTTGGTATCTTTTTTGTTACTGATGAAATGAAGAAACGCTACTCTATGTTTCGAAGTTCCTTAGGTCCTTATTCCATGACGGAATTTCTCACAAGTTATGTATGCTCAAAATAAAACAGCTGTACATACGCATCTAATCAGAAATTTCACAATCATAGGAATTAAATTCACTTCTTCTTTTCTAAGCATTTGCTATTATCAGTCTGTCCTTATTCAAGAAGTAATAAACATTCAAAACCTGATCATCCATTACATGAGAGGAATGAAGGAGCATGAACGTAAAAGAAGCATGAACTGAAAAGCCGGGAAGCATAGGATAGCCGCTTCGACCTGGTTGGATCACATCAACTTTGCGGGAAACCATCGACTCGACTGGGGATCAGGAGCCCTGGTCGGAACAGCTTTCCAGTGCTCCTCAGCTTTTCAATCCACGCCTCGTTTACACGACGAATTCATCGTATAAAATAAGTAACAGTTGACCGTGGTACCATACCATTTATTCCCTGGTCCTTTTTCAATAAAAACTACTCTCCCCTGGGCAATGAGTTTCATTTTCGGCGAGGTAACAAACGTGGTTGCATAATGGTTGCATTAGCACCGATTACCTAACGACATTATAAACACTGCTCCGAAGTTGCTGATTTCCCACTGAATCGGAATAGGATCCAGACTACATGCTATGCACCAAGAAACTGATCACTGCTGGCTTAGTTCTGACATGCCAGACGACAGAAGTTGTAGGGTACTGCGCTATGTAATTTAGTCCTGTAAAAATTGCCCTACTGGATCGTCTCGTTGGGCCGAGTGTTGGAATAAAATACCAACATTCTCTGAGTCTAATCCCAGGAGATTCAACAAAAATGAACTGTTGGTAATATCAAACGAAGAATAAAGTTCAAAGTATCTACAAAAGATTTCTCACTGGTTAGGAAATAAATTAGTACTGCATTATCGTCGAAATAAATCAAAACTCCCTTGCCAATTTCTTCACAGATGAACACACTACAGTTGTGGAAAAGAACGCGGAACTTCTGCGCAGTTTGAATGATCTGGGTTTGGAAAAACATGAATTGGAATGCGAACTGACCCGTACTAGGAAGGAACAGGCGCAATGGAAAAAGACAGCTGAACGTGTAAGTCAACGACTCCTCCTAGCTACTGTGCCATGCCGAATTCCTTAGTAGGACATAATTTCGATCTGTCAGTTGCAACACAAAATGATTCAGAGGTTTTTGGTCTGCTTGTTTCATATGTCTCATTGTTGGGACTGTTTCTGAACATCTTTACAGGTGGACCGCGAGCGTCTACGAGAACAAGACGCGTGCACCAAGTTACGAACTGAGAGCACCGAATTGGGCAAAACTATCCGTCGCCTCGAAGAGGAAAATCTGGACTTGCGAAGAGACCTCCAAAAGCTGCAGGTAACACGATCTGTACCGACATGAATGATTTACAAAGGATCACAAATCCATTGCATACTAAAACATGGAATTCGTTTGAATTAGATTGGAGTGATCAAGGAAACTCGTGAAATGCAATTTTATTTTATTTTTTTAATTTGATTGATGGTGGTTTAAGGGTTTACACCACTATTACTCACCTGTTTTTGTTGCTAACTTCCGAGATTCCAACCCAGCCATCTAACTTTAGAAGTAGATCCAACACCACGCCTAATCTGGTGGGGTCGTATGTGGTTCGCACTCCAAGTCACGAGACTTGGGTTGTTGGTTTCCATTATGGGCCAGCAGGATCTCGGGATTCTGGGGTTTGCACCATCTTCTGTTAAGTACATTAGAGTGTGTAATAAAAAACTAGAGATAGAGTCATCAAATGACACATTATTTTCATCTGACTGGGGTCTATGTCATGTCTTTTGTATTGTAATAATGACCAGAACTGTCTTGTTTCTCTTCACCTAATGAAAAAATTGTTCGATCACCTTTTAGAAGGCGTGCTGTAAACAATCAGCGGTTTTAGATGAATTCAGCAAGGGGTAGCGCTGTTCGTACATAGGAAACGCACTAACTGTGGACCGTTGCACAGTAACATTGCCTCATTGATAATGGTCGAATGGTACTAAGCGTCAGTCGTTTTTGATGACCAAAGCTAAGGTTTTATAGGATGAAATTTTTCTGATGATTTTCAAAGCTATCGAGCTTACTGTTGAGCCTCTACTCACAGCACTTACCGGGAAAAACATCCACGAAAAGCAATATTGCTTTATTCATCCGGTGCTAATAACTATTTATGCTACCATATCTGTACTACTGTCTACTTTTGAGTAGTTAAACTATGAAAATGATCTTTATGAACGAAATGCAAACGTCCCTTGGTACTATTACGTACAGGCACATGTAGCCCAACAGGAAGATACTCAGGCGGCCCGTTTGATTGAAGTGAACACCAAACAACGACTAGAAAATGAAGCAGAGATGGAACGTCAACGATTGGCTCTCGCTCAAGCTGAAAAGGTAATACAGCAAAAAGAGCGGAGCCATCGACAGCGTGTCCGTGGTCTTGAAGAACAGGTGAGTTACTTCAAAACTATAGAAAACTATGGAACAGATTTATCCATATCCTGTTTTTCAATTTTCCATTAAATTACTTTGATACTTTACAACTGTGGTTTGTTGAAAAACCATAATTCCACCTTGTAGGATTAGTGTTTGTATTTGCTAAAATTGAACACAGAATGTTTCACGGTGCGCATTGTCAGTGCGCTAATGTTCTTCGCTCCGTTATTCTGTTCCAGGTCGCATTGCTCAAGGATCAGTTGTCTCAAGAAATGAATCGGCGTCAGTTATTCCTGTCTCGTTCGCAGAACTTGGCCAGTTACACATCACCGAGTCAACCAAATCTGCTCAATGTGGGCACAGCAACTACCGAACCGGAACTAGGCGATATCCGAAGTCCGTTAGACATCAGTCTTCCACAGGTAGGAGACTGTCATTTTCAAAAATAACAAATGATTTTCTAAGAAGACTGTCATTCAGCCTTTTTTGTTTATCCAGATTGACGTGTCTCTTTATTTCAAGGGACACTAAGATCTTGACAATGAAACAATATCTGTTTACGGAGTTGGACATTTCAAAAACAATTTGTCATTCGGTGATTGCACGTTCAGACGGGTTAAGACCACGATAGAAGTTCTACATAAGTTTAGCGGATTTGACGTATGCAGAATGACAGTTGAGTGGTACATTTGAATGTAACAACAGCTGTAAAGTGCTTATGATAATGTCAAGCTCGTCAGACGCCAAAAAGATGGATTGCTTTCGACTGAGGAAAATTATTTATCAGTTGATTTTTCTACGACTACCACTAGGAATCGCCAACCATTTTCCTTTACTTGCCCCAAACAGAGGACACCAAAATATTTCACAGTAGATTTATTTTTTGTAATGAACGTATCCATCTGGGTCTCATTTAGGATCGTACGGGAAACCCCGTATTAGACAAGCCTACTAAATATCAATGTTATTTCGTACACAAGAGGATTCGCATCTGTAAATGACTAGCTGTGGTCCACTAGTTCAATGCTAGTCACAACTTAGAAACTAGAAAATAAAAAAACCAACAAATGAATTTGTCTCACCTTTCAGTGCTCTGTTGGCACGGTGAGTTCAATTCGATCCCAGTGATTACACCTTGCTCCGTGCTTGCTCTTGAGTTGCATCCGAATGTTTTTGGATCCAATATAGGTAATATATTCTTGATCTGAGAAAGTTCACTCATTTTCCGAACTACAGTAGAACAAAAAATGATGGCGGAAGGAAGTTTTGCTCTAAGCCTTTTGTGCACGAGAATAGAGAGAGATCAGGGGTAGGTAGGTAGAGGGGCTTCATAAATGGTGTGAACTGTTTTGTTTTGAATCATTTAAAACGATATCTTTTGATAAATGAGCTTCAGGCCGGAAATTCACACTCTCTTATGGAGGAGATTGTTTATCTGTGTGGCAAATCGGTGTCGAATCAAGCCCGTTAAAATTATCTCAACCGTCATCAGTGTTCACAGTCTTCTCCTAGTCATACCATTTCCGATCAATAACTTTCGTGGTGAAAGACAATATTCTGACCTTTGCCACCTAATGCAAGCTTTTATTCACCGATTACCGCGCTGTAAAGTCCTTTTTTGATCGCATCATCTGGGGGAAATCGTCAACAACAACGAGTTGATTATTTTGAACGAGTTCCACCAACGTCTGCTGTCATTGCAAATGTTTGCTATCAAAAACCGAATGAAGTATAAAGATTCTGCTCATGCGAACGAGACGTATCTGGATTTATCACAAAATCATATTCCTTTCCAGCCTCCTTCAAATTAATTCTATTCTATTTATATTTCCATTCACCGAGGAATAATAAGGGCAAATAAACTTTGAAAGTTATCCTCTTTAGAGAGGCAGAGTTACGTTGGATTATAAAACATTGTTTCAACAAAACGAAAATGAATTCCTTTTTGGAATCACATTAAACTGTGCATATTAAGATATGATCATTAATTCTGCATGTTATTGTACCATCCCTTCCCAAAATTAAAAAAATTAACTGACTTCTTTGTTCAGGAGACTTATCTTCCCGGATTGTACAAGCCCACAATCGCTCCGTCCAGATACGACCCCTATTACTATCAAGTGACTGGTTCAATCCCCTCACAACTGGATCGCTCTTATGGAAGTGGATCCGGACGGTACTCACGCGATCGGGACAGTGGTATTGTGAATCGTATAGGACAGGGTATCCCATCCCCAGCCGGGCTTCGTGCGAGCACATCGCAGACAATGCGCGGAGGTGAGAGTGTTGAGGCACGGCATCGATCGATGGGAACACCTGGGTCGAATACAGGCACAGACACGACCACAACAGGACAATCATCGGGATCCAAGGTCAAAGATTCCCCTTCTGTGCATATTCCGAGTCGCTATATGACCACAACTTCGTTAAACCGAAGCACGAGCGAGTCAACTATTCGACGGAAAGAGTCATAAGCTCGTGGTTGTCATGTGAAACAGATTGAAATGATTTTTCTCTCTCTCTCTCTGTCCATTTGAACTTTCCTCCTTCTCATTCGTCCACACATACATATCCAGTCGTATATAAATGGACCGCAAGCAGTTTCTGGTTACTGCAACCAAGCAGACCAATCAATGGTCCTTTGCTCACACACAAACATGTTGGATCTGCACTGATCGACGGCCAGTCTCTATGTGGCCTAGTTATATCGAAATTAGCTCTACAATACTAACTGTACAGTGTACGGAATGCAGGAAGATCCTTTTCAGTATGATCCATTCTATTCACCGTTTTCGCCAACAGGAATTCGAACCGATTTTGTTTGGAGAAATGACAGCAAAATCTTTCCAATCGCTTCGAACCACTTACTTCTTTAAGTTTTTTTTTTAAAAAAACGCACGTATTNCACGTATTAGGATAACAAATGCTGCCAAAATGAAACTTGCGGATAACAATTGCAAACATTGATAAGAATGGGATGTGAAAAAAGAACTGACAGGTTCCAAACAAAACAGTATCTTGATGACAATTTTCTATACCCGTATTGCTATTCAATGCCCGCATATATATATTTACATATAACGTTCTATGCTTCCTACCTATTGTATTGTGGCTGTTTTACACCCAAACACCCACACAAGCCCATTGTAAGACCATATAGCATATGAATACG